GCAAATTTCAAACAAAGCTTGGCCAGACTGTCTGGTACGTTAAATCTGATGTATACATTACTACTATGGATCCCAGTGATTCTGATAGATTATGGCCCTGTTTGGATTTGTCTTCTTCTGAGAAAAACTGCCATCAAGGAGGAGAGAGAGAGGCTCATGTACATGTTCTCTCTCTGCTGCTCCTCTTATTGTGGGAACTGTAATTTTCTAAAAGTGTTTTCACAGAATATCAGTTAACTACGCATACTACAAGTTATTACATAATTGTAATCTGAATTTAATGTATAATAATCATAAATTTGTCACTTTTTTTTTAATGACAAATATCCTTGGATGTGATTTTCAGGACATGTGGGAGCACCTTTGCCCTGTAATTTAATCAAGCTGGTGGACGTTGAAGAATTAAATTATTTTTCTTCCAAAGGAGAAGGAGAGGTAATGTGCATTATTGTACCCACTGCTGTTTTCACTGGTAGTTTATAAACCATGGAACCATTCATTAAGAATAAAGTTTTGTTTCTTTTCTATGCCAAGGGCTGGGAGTTTGTTTTGGTCCTCAAGAAGCAAGGCATGTGAACAAGTCAATAATTTAGAGTAATTCTTTTAAATTACAAGTGGCCATCGAGTGGTCTCCCCAATTCTGGAACTTTTCACCCAGACTAATTATTTCCAGGTTTCCAACCACCAGTTAACCCAGAAGGAGCCCAGGAAGTACTAAGTCTGTGTGAAAACTTCCTGGATCAATTAAGTCAATTAAAATTAAAAATATACATAATTTTATATACAAATAAATACACGACTGTACTATTAACCACTAAACAATTTAAGGCAATTTTAACCCATTTCAGATATAATGGGAAAGTACTTGGGAACTCTGCTTACATGTTTTGGCAGCTTTAGGGGAACATATTTTCCCTCCCCCCCCCTTTAAAAAGGGCACCACATCCAGCTGACCCACACAAAGCATCTCCTGGTAGACCTTCCCGCTAAAGGATATACATAAGGCACATGTAACACTCTATGGCATATTGGCTCAAGCTACTTTTTGCTCACTTCATTTCTGATAAAAACAAAAAAGACTAGTGTGGGTTTTATTCTCCCCCCCTCCCCACTACAGGTTGGGTTCAACACTGCAACATAATGACATAGCACAGGAAACCCTATATGTGATTTGTCTCATTGTTTGTGTACAAAAATCCTGACTGCAACAAGCCCCATCTGCATCCCCATCAAGTTTGTCTACATTAAAGTCCTCTGTGCTGTATCACAGCTCTGTCAGATGGAGAACTGCACTGGAACCCCAATGGGTAGCCCTCCCTGGGGGGCACAAAAAAAAGCAGCATTTTTCCTCTTTTTTCTTGTTCTTAAAAGGACAAGGAAAAGCACTGCTAAAATAAGGTTTCTTTCGGTGGCTGTTATACTGCCAGTTATACTGTCCAGTCTAGTCTTCAAGGGCTTTCCCCTTTTGTATGATAACAAGATAGGGTGGTGTAAGCCTCTCTTAAAACCAGAATTTCACCTTAGGTGTCCTGACATATTTCTCTGTCTTGCAGATCTGTGTGAAAGGTCCAAATGTTTTCAAGGGTTATCTGAAAGATGACGAGAGAACTGCTGAAGCATTAGACGAAGATGGATGGCTTCATACAGGGGATGTTGGGAAGTGGTTACCTGTATGTACAGAACTGCTAAATTTGCATGCAATTTGTAGTTAATTCCTTTTTCCAATAAGAAAGGTATAACTATACTACCTGACAGCTGTAACTTGATATGGGATAATTTCATTACTTTAAGCTACTTTTGCAGTTATACAGGTACAACATAATTCAGGTTGTGTCTTGTATTATATTGTGGGGTGCAGAGGTGACAAGGAGGTGGAGAGAAGGACAGTGAGCTTTGTAACATGGACCAGTATATTGTAGCAGTCAAATGTTTGGGTTTTTTAAAAGTAACTTTTGTCACTTTTGAAATAAGATAAAACATAGAATTACTTTTTAGAAATGATAACTATAACAGCAACTGCTAACATTCAAAGACCTCAGATCTATCAATATAGTTACATTTACAAAGTAACTTCTGTGAAGGAGTGATGGCACTGACATTCATGGGTAGTTTTAGACCAAAAGTATGGCTTGTGATAGTAAAGTATTAGCCTGTGTGGTTTAATAGAGAGTGGACGAGGTCTAGATTCAAATTTCTTCTCATTGATTTAGTTCACTGGGTGACTTTGAATTAGTCATTATCTTTTAGTATAATTAATTCCACTGGGTTGGTTTGTATATCTGGGAAGAAAACAGGACATAACTACGATTAATCATATAATCCCTAGAGTTACAATACTAAACACGCCTGCTTGAGAATAAGTTCTTCTGCCCATAATAGTATTTTTATTCACAGTGCCCTACACTTTCCCTAGATGGGTATAATTCTTTGTCCTTTTCTGTTTTCAGAATGGCACACTAAGAATCATTGATCGGAAAAAGCATATATTTAAACTGGCCCAAGGTGAATACATTGCACCAGAAAAAATTGAGAACATCTACATTCGAAGTGAGCCTGTCTCCCAAATATATGTGCATGGAGATAGCTTACAGGTAACCCTATTCTTTATATCTCTTGGAGCTTGGTCCCGGTTTCTGATAACTATTTTGTGATTTTATCAGGCAAAACCCAAAGGAATAATAATAATTAAAAAATAAAGACAAAAACTCTTAAAGATTATCTGTTATATTTGAATGTGAACTTTCTCAGACAAGTCCACTTCTTCTGACACTTCTTCAGACACATGATATTTTACTCTATGTGTCTGAAGAGGTGGACTTGTCCACGAAAGCCCACATTCAAATATAACAGATAATCTTTAAGGTGCCACATATTTTTTAATTTTATATTTATTCCCCCCTTTGGGATTTGCCTGATATGCTAGCACAGACTAACATGACTATATCTTCTAAAACTACAACTATTTTGTAATTTAAATGCTATATTTATGAACGGTGCAAGCATTACCTTTATTGTAAGCAGGATTGATCATTGCTGCAGTGCTCTACTTTTCACACTAGGGTTTTGCACTGTTACTTAAATGTGCAAAGAGAAGCACACAAGTAATTATTTTACATAATTTTCTTCTTGCATCAGCTGTGTGCAAATTATAATGTGCCATTCTCTTGATCAGGTGAGCCCACTTATTGGAAACATAGTTTGTTGAGAAAGAACATTTCATTTTCTTGCTGATGTCCCAAGCATGAAAAATTCTGCTATATACAACAAGCTCTTGGAACAGTAGCATACATGGACAGGGATGTCTGACTAAGTGAATGAGCAGATCACTGTATAGGTACAATGAAAAACACACATCTCTGTGTTCAGAATGCTTCTACACCTTAACTGAAGCCAGAATCCTAACAGAACTGTCAGAACTAAACGATACTGAGGAATTGCCGAGGTAGCCTTTTTGCAAAATCATTTCTATGGAAGCTGTCATGAAATGTTTTGCGGAGAGTGGCACCTAACAATTTTCTTTTCTCTAAGTCTGCTCTACATGCCCATCCTCCCTAGCCCTCCCACCCACTCTGCTCTGGCTTTTGTGATTAGCAGACACTGCCATAGCAGTTTTTGAGAATGGGAGGGAGCAAAGGGCCAAAGAGTTTGGCAGCACTTGCCATTTGAAGCAGACACAGTACACCAAAATAGAAGGAATTGTGCTGGGATACCATGCCATAAATGGGATTCCCTGTTTTATTTTTCTGCTTGCAGGCCTTCTTGGTGGGGATTGTTGTACCTGATAGCGAAGTCATGCCAGGTTGGGCCAAGAAAAAGGGCTTTGAGGGATCTTTTGCAGAGCTTTGTAAAAATGTGGTAAGTTCTTTATACATCTGTTTATGTGCCTTAGAAACATACAAGGACAGTACTCGGTGGTAAAATTATACAATGACAGACAGCAATTAAAATTCTAATTAATGAGACAAGATTTCCCAATGTGCTAAAGCAGCTTCATGCTAACACCTTCTGGCAGCCATTAGAGTAGGACAATTAGGAATCATTCGGTCTTGAGAGACTATGGGAACATGCTCTTTATGGGGGACTTGGAATAGCGTCTAGTGTGGCTGAGATGGCCAATATGAGAGTGACAATCCCTTCCGCACTGAAGACAAATACAATCTGTCCCTCGTCCAGCTCCCTGATTTTGCTGCTTTCAGGACTGCCTCTTTGCCTTGGCCTGCTGGACAAGTGTCTCTTCGAATTGGGAGAGGCCGTGACTCACCGCCTGCCTCCAGGCTGAAAGCTCAGATGTCAGGGTTTCCCATCTGTTGAGGTCCATTCCAAAGGCCTTCAGATCCGCCTTGGAGATATTCCTGTATCTCAGCTGTGGTCTCCCTCTGGGGCGATTTCCTTGCACTAATTCTCCATACAGGAGATCTTTTGGAATCCGACCATCAGCTATTCTTACAACATGCCCAAGCCAACGTAGACGTCACTGTTTCAGTAATGTATACATGCTAAAAATTCCAGCTCGTTCTAGGACTACTCTGTTTGGAACTTTGTCCTGCCAGGTGATACTGAAAATGCGTTGGAGACAACGCGTATGGAACGTGTTCACCTTCCTCTCCTGCCATGCACAAAGGGTCCAGGACTCACTGCAGTACAGGAGTGTGCTCAGGACACAGGCTCTATAGACCTGGATCTTGGTATATGCCATCAGGTTCTTATTAAGCCATACTCTCTTTGTGAGTCTAAAGAACATGCTTTGCCCATGCATTTATCTAGCTTGATATCTAAGGAGAGAGTGTCAGAGATCATTGAGACAAGGAACACAAAGTCATGAGCAACCTGCAATTCTTGTGCGGAGATGGTAATAGAAGGAGGTGAGTCCACGCCCTGGCCCATGACTTGTGTTTTCTTCAGGCTGATTGTTAATCCAAAGTCTTGGCAGGCCTTGCTAAAGTGATTCATTAGTTGTTGGAAGTCACTAGCTGCATCATCAGCGAAGAGGAAGTCCCACATGCATTTCAGCTGGACTTTGGCCTTCGCTCTCAATCTAGAGAGGTTAAAGAGCTTTCCATCTGATCTAGTCTAGAGGTAGACACCTTCTGTTGCAGTTCCAAAGGCATGCTTCAGCATGACAGCAAAAAAGATCCCAAACAGGGTTGGTGCGAGGACACAGCCCTGTTTCACTCCGCTTCAGATGTCAAAGGGATCTGATGTTGAGCCATCAAAAACTATAGTGCCCTTCATTTCCTCATGAAAGGACCTGATGATGTTAAGGAGTCGAGGTGGACATCCAATCTTGGGAAATATTTTAAAAAGGCCATCCCTGCGAACCAAATCAAAAAGGCCTTTGTGAGATCTATGAAGGACACAAAGAGTGGCTGTCGTTGTTCCCTTCATTTCTCCTGCAACTGTCGGAGGGAGAATGCCATGTCAGTGATGGATCTATTAGCTCAAAATCCACACTGTGATTATGGATAGACTCTGTCTGCAAGCACCTGGAGTCTCTTCAGCACAGCACGGGCAAGCAGCTTCCCTACAACGCTGAGAAGAGAGATACCACAGTAGTTATTGCAGTCACCCCGTCTCCTTTGTTCTTATACAATGTGACAATGTTTGCATCCTTCATGTCCTGTGGTACTCCTACCTTCCCTCCAGCAAAGACAAAAGATTTTATACAGCTTGGTGGTGATGATCTCTTTATAGCACTTCAGCAGGGATGTTATCCTTCCCAGGTGTTTTGCCGGACGTGAGGGAATCCAAGGCCACTTTTATTTCTGCTAGAAGTTGGTTCACTGTCCAATTCTTCCAAGACAGGCAGGCACTCGATGTTATTTAGTGCCTCTTTGAACAAACAGTGGTTCTCTCTTGGGGATTTTTTTGATAATAGCTGCCAGATCATCGTAGAATTTGTCTTTGACTTCTGTTGTGGATGACAGTGTTGGTGCATATGCACTAATGAGGGTGATGAGTGGAGCTGCAGAGACAGGATTGTGTCACTCCTAGTGTAGGCGGAACAATGGATCTCAGCAGAGTATTTCTTACCGCAAAGCCAACACCATATTCCCTGGTCTCATTAAATGGGAGTTTTCCCTGTCAGAAGAATGAGAAGTTTTTTCTTTGACAGAGCCCAAGTCTGGCAATCCTGTCTCTTGCAGGGCAGCAATGTCCATCTGCAGTCTACTCAGTTCCATGTTGATGACAGCTGTCTTGCGCATGTCGTCTATTTCCTGCAGGTCATCAGAAAAGCCAGGGGCCATTGTCCGAACATTCCAGGTGCCCAAGTTTAGGGCAGAAGTTTTCTTGTGATTGTTGCATGGTGCAGGGTTATCGATCTGCTTGTCGGCTTTCACCCTAAACCCCACACAACCCATGAGGTTAACAGACCGTGGCAAGGTAGCACCTTACTGGCTGAAGACTACCCAGCTTAAGGTGGGCAGTAGCTATCTAGTGAGGTGCCATGACCTCTCCCACCATTGGAGGTAGCCCCTGGAGTCATGCTCTACATCAATCAAGCAAAGACTTATAACTGGTAACTGCTACTTCCGGTGTTGTTTCGACACTGTATGCGAAGCTGGAGTGTCCTCTCCAGAGCATGAAGCCTGGATAAAATAATTTGGAGAATAGGCTGTTACCCAAGCAGCAAATGCCCCCTCTCCATGTTGCTGAAATAGTCCAGTGGAAAGGCAAGAGCTAATACAACTGGTTCCAGCGACATTGCAGGAGTTGCCAGAATGATACGAACTGCCTCTGGGACTCCAGCTCCAGATTTTGCCTTGAGGTTAACTCCTGAAGCCTTTTACATCTGTGGATATAGCCACAAGTTAGTGGAGGTTTGAAATCAGAGTTTTCATTCTCCTAGATGGGCTGCCTTCCAAGGCTGACGAGCCCCACCCACCCGGCCTGCTCCCTAAGAGTGCGGAGATTAAAACACAGGCCTCCAGCTGCTGGACTTTGTCTTCCAAGAGGACCACCAACTAACAGAGCATTTCTACCCAGGCACGTGGGTGGGACAATAGTACAATATGATAAGGCTAAGAATGTAATTCTAGGCAACATCTGTTTCGTGCAGGCATAAATGTTCCCCAAGTTATGCCTAGGAATGTGCAATTGGCATGTGATTCCCAATGCAACCATGGATAGCACTTCTGCTTTTGATGCTATTAGTATCTACTGTGGGGGTAACATGGTGTTATAAGAAGATTTTGTCCTATATGTTACATTGAAAATACAGTGGTGCCTCGCATTACAACATTAATTCGTTCCAGTGAAATCGCTGTAGAACGAAAACGTTATAAAGCAAAATTAAAAAGCTCATAGAAACGCATTAAACCCCGTTTAATGCGTTCCGATGGGCTGGAAACTCACTGTCCAGCGAAAACCCTCCATAGGGGGGCCATTTTCGCTGCCTGTGCAGCGAGGAATCCATCCCAGAAAACAGCGGGGGGCCATTTTGTTTACCCAGCGGCCATTTTGAAACCGCTGATCAGCTGTCAGAAAATCATCGTTTTGCGAAGAATCGGTTCCTGAAGCAGAGAACCGATCATCGCAAAGCAAAATTCCCCCATAGGAAACATCGTAAAGCAATCGCAAAAGCAATCACAAAAAGTTCGTCGTAATGCGGTTTCGTCGTTAAACGGAGCGATTGTAAAGCGAGGCACCACTGTATTTTTGATTAGAATAGGTTGTGTTTGTCTCTTTCTTCATAATCATAGAAATGGACCTGATCTGAATCAGATCTGCATTATCCAAATACTAGTCCCAAACACAGTAAACCTACTGAATCAACTTCTGGGTGGTGAGTCAGTACTAATGTAAAACCCATTGTCAAAGGACTAGCATTTGGATTCAGACTGCAATGTGCTATATTCCTACCAATAATCCAAAGCTGATATTTGCTCCCAAAGATACTATTTTGAAATAACACATCTGCAGTTGCGATTTTTGAAAGGATGAAATTACATTTTTTTTGTAAAAGACATGCCTTGATTAGAGATGTGGGTATTCATATACAAATATCTTCATGCAGCTGGAGTTACTGAGGATCTGGCTCCTGGGACTGGGCTGTCCATTCATCCTTCTAATCGCTCCTGAGTGTCGTTCTCTTCCCAGTAATCTAGCCACTATGGAAGAAAAATGAGTTTCCCTGCAAGGCTGCCAAGTGGCTAGCCAAGCAGCACTCTGGAGTGATTGAAAATAAGAGAGGGGCCACTGCTGCCATTGGACATATGAGTGGACGTTCCGGCCCCAGTGGCTGGACCCTCGTTAACTCCAGCTCCACGGGTATATTCATATTTGTATATGAGTAAGAATATCCCCATCTTTAGACATGATCCTTATGTCATCAACCGCAACCACTGCTGCCTTCTGGGAAAAAAAAGTCAATGACATTTAGAAGCATGCCAGTTCTGAATACATCTAGTTAATTCCTTAATTATGTAATATACACTATGCAGAAGAGTGATTGCTATGTTGGAGATTTTAAAAGATCCCACTGGATAAGCAGGGTTGTGCACGATAAGATGTCTTAGTTTTTCCCCCCACTCTCTTCATCAGTAATATTCCATGCTGGCAAGATGACAACTCTTTCATATTTATTGGGGGGGGGTTAAGATTTTTTTTAATTGGTAGGGCCTAGAATTTCAAAGCCTGTGCCAAATCATGAGAACTTTCTGTCATTGCTAGATTGGAGGAAAATGGGGGTAATAGTCCAGAAAAAAGGCAACTGGCTTGCTGAAGAAAAGGTTTAGGTTTTTGTTAAGGTGTCTGTTGTGGATGTTCTAGCACATTGACCTGCACAATGGCAGTTGTAACTGAATTAGAAATTAATACTAAAAGGAGGTAGCCCAGTGACAAAGCGCAGATTCCGCACATAAAAAGTTCCCATTTCAGTTCATGGAAGGTCTTGCTTGAGCTGAGAAAGACCCCTGCCTGAAACCTTAAAGAGCCATGGTGGGTTACAGCAAACAAGACAAAAACAAATTGGGCAGTATTTCCGCAAGAGCTTGGAATGGTTATTTGTTTGAAATACACAGCAGCCACCAGCCCCAACGGGGATTTAGGAGTTTTAATCAAAAAATTAATGTTCCCAAGTTTGTGTTCCTTCTGTATTCCTTGCCCTGACAGTGACCAGGAATTTGCAGTGGTACAGGGATTAGATGCTGTCCTTCCCCTATGTGCCACTCATACCTTGTATCACCTTGAGAAAGAGGATGGAAATGTGTGCCTGGGACGTCGGGAGGAGTGAAGCAGGATTGAAGTCAACTCTGCCAACAACCATTTCCACAATATTGGGGTGCGGGAGAAGTTAGTGGAGACACAGGATCCAGAACATTAAGGAAATAGACAAGCATCCATTTTTAAATGGTTGTCAAAGCCCTCAGACATGAATGTTGATGAATGTTTATGGCATAATATAAATAATAAATAAGCTACACCAAATTAACATTAATAAATAGTATATCCATGTGCAATCTCCAGGCTTCAAAGGAAGGTGCTTCAAAATGCCAGATGCAGGGGTGAGGTATCATGTGCTCCCAGAGGCATCTGGTGGGGACTCTGTGAGATACAGGGAGCTGGACTAGATGGGCCCCTTGGCCTGATCCAGCAGGACTCTGCTTATGTTCTTAATCACTGATATTGCAACTACTGTATTGCTTTCTTTGGAATACAGATTAAGTCATCATTATGGGGCCTATGATTTAAAACATAGTTTACAGTCTGAACCTCTTCATGCTTTCACTTAACACTAGAATAGTTTGAAAATCAGACCAATACCAAAAATGACTATAAGCTTCCACCCTGCTAGCATTCATAGACATGCTTGATGAAAAATAACCTAAGGTGACTTTCCAGAGAGTTTTGTATTTCAGAGACCTATAAGATTAGGGATTGTAGCTTGTTACCTACCTACATTTGGGGGTGGGGTGGGGGCTTGGTTTTTTTCCCTTTACTATTATGCATTGTTGACCTGTCAAAAAATTAGTCAGATTAAGAGCTGGTTGTGGGGTTGAATCACAGCTCAAATTGGGCAGAACTTGCAGTTTTGTCCACAATATGTGTTTCTCTGTCTGTGCCCCCCCATTCCTGTTCTACCTCTCTTTCTTATTCCGGCACGCACGTGCACACACACACACACACACACAAAAGCTAAAAGAATACTTGAATGTTAATAGGATTTTATTTTCTGGTTGTTAAATAGTGTTTATGAGCTATAAATAGACGTTTCATGTATTCTAATTGTGGTTGTTCCATACTGTACTGTCAAGTCACTCCTGACTGAAAGCCTGTGAATTAATGACCTTGAAAAGAGTCTATAAACAGCCCTGCTCAGGTTTGTGCAAATGCAAGGCCATGCTTTCTTTATTAAGTCAATCCATCTCATATTTTGTCTTCCTCTTATTTTTATTCTTGCTTTATTATTATTTTTCAGGAGCTGAAAAAAGCGATAATGGAAGACATGGTGCAATTAGGGAAAGAGAGTGGACTTCATTCATTTGAGCAGGTGAACTCTGAATACTAATACTGTTGCCTTGACTGCCAGGATGAGAGGACATTCTTATTTGAGATGAATAGACAGGGATTTTAACATGCATTATGAAAAAGCATGAATGCCCCACTGTGCTTTGCAGTTCAGTCATAACCTCATTTTTTGTTTAAAAATGTACACAAAGTAATTTTTAATTAAAGTCTTCTTAGGGTAGCTAACCTGATAAAACTCCATTCCATTCCACCCTTCCTGAAAGTAGTGCTAAAAAGTCAACTCTAGCCCGTAATTACCATTCTTACCGTTGACCTGGAAAATGCAGCTGTTCTGTTTATTCTGATAATCTCCTCATGACGTACATATAGATATTTTTGTATCAGACCGGCAGACACGCATGAGGGAAAGTTCAGAAATAAACAAAGTATTCCTCTTCCTTATTTAGTTATACATAGAAACAGACATGTGCAGACGAAAACATAATTTAGGAAGTATAATTTAATGTAATGTATTGTGAACCTTTTATTTGAGAAACACAAATATCATAGATCTAAGTAATATTTATATTATTGCTTACATTTCTTGGGATCCCTGTAATTTTCCAATATATTCTGAGATATGATAAATCTACCTAAGTCTGTACAAAGTGTAAAGCTGATTCTGGAGGGGGAAAAAATCAAAATCTCTGGCTTGTCAGAAAAACCTTGTTTGTTCTTGATGTAAAACCATCTCATATTGCAGTCTACTAACCTACCTGCTGCAGCCTTCCAGGATCAGGCACATGAATCCCCTGGAAGTTACCCGCCTCAACCTATGTACATACAAGATAATAATCCTGTTCCATATTTGCTGTGACAATCCTTTCTTCAAAAAGCAGACCACATAGAATATTTGGTGTCAATGCTTCTGCTTCTGATTTGTAGACCTAAGTGGATATTAGGAATGTTTCTTTTTGGGAATACAGCTCAAAGAATCACCCAACTAGCATTGCTACTGGGTAATAGCTGATGGACTCTAAGGGTTACAGTCCAAAAAAGGTATTTTTTCAGGCCCCTAGGCCCAACCCCAACTTCACCTATTTCAGAGGGCAAACTCCTCTTGGCCCAACCTCAGCACCTTCATATTGAAGCCATCGGACTTTGGACTTTGCCTGCAAAGCTGTTAGCAACAAAAGCTGTCAGTTGCCCTTCCATGTCAGCTTTGTAGTCACTATAGAGTCTGACATGCTGTTCCTCCATTGTTGTGCCCAGGAGGCTCAGATGAAAGGTTTTCAAAATGGGATCCTGCATTTCCACCTATCAGAGTTTTACTGGTCTGGTCCACACCTCCTCTGCCATAACCACACCCTTGTCTCCAAAGACAAGTGAAGCAGACTCCTCCTTAAACAATACCACCAATGTTCCCTCTAATTTTCAGCCCTGCTTGGGTGGGGTTTACCTCTCATGTGCACACAATTCTCCCCCCCCCCCGATTTCCGTGACCAGAACCAAAGGGGCTGAAAACTACTGCTGGAGGAGGAAGAACCCTGAGCGGAGGGGGGCAGAGTTGCACGCCTTAGAGGGAACCTTGAATTCAATTGTGACCATGCATTGGAATGCATGATTGTAGCAGTGGAAAAAAGGGCACAACACATTCTAGGTGGATAGGAGACACTCTTTGCCATTGCTGGAGTCACCGAAATACTAGGCTGCCTCTTTCCAACAACCACTGAAATGGGCCTGGATTGGTACCAGATGTCACTTCTGACTCTACCATATTTACTTCTTGTGCCAGAGGCAGTTTTGGTTATTTATTTGTGACCAATCAAAAGTCCCTGGTAATTAAAGGGCCATCTCTTTATTCTTTCTGTCTGTTATTTTGATGTGTTGCAATCTCTTACATGGCACAGATATTGTGCTTCTCATTACAAGTCAAAAATAGTAAACTATTTAGCAGCATCTATATATAAATATCCTTATAGTTCTTCCAGAAATAATACTTTGAAAAATGTGCTACTGTCATGCAGAGGAAGGTTGCATCTGCATGAAACTGTGGGGTTACATTTAGCTGTAGAGGCAGAAAAAGGAGTCTGAGAGTTTAAAAGCAGATATTTCTTTTGCCAGTGATCTCTGCAGTTTCTGCAGGAGCACAATATCTCAGCATGTCTTAATTATGTCTTGGTTCTAGAAAAAGTTCGTCTTTTGATGTTTGTTTTCAACTCTGTTGAAAACTCTGTTGCTTAAAATATATATTCTGCCTGTCAAATGCCAAGTTATAACAAAAGCTGCTGCCTGTGTTTCTGCCTTTCTTGTTCAGGTATTTAGAATGAGTATTTTAAGGTGAAATGGGCCTTATTATCCTAAATAAGGAGGTTCTTTATGGTGGAGATAACATATTCCGTGTGTAAAAGAGTTGCAAAACCTTTCCAAAACATCAGTGTTGCTCTCATTAATATAAGAGAGAATAAACAGTCTCTCTGAGAAGAGGAAACAGAGGTGGGTGTATGGATCTAATTCTGTCCCATCTGTCCCATTATATGGACCTAAATCTGGATCCAGCCCAATGTTAACAGTGAGTAACTGTAGCTAAAGGTATAAATTTAAAGTAGACAGGCAGTAATACTTGGCCCACAATATCCTCTTTTGGTGGTGTCTCTTGCCTTGTGGCTGAATTTGATTAAGGTACCACCCCTTTAGTAGAAACATTACTCAGGGCTGTTTACAAATTAAAACTCACAATCCCACCTGACCCCATTTAACAATATATTCAATATGGTGGTTCACTGATCTAAAATTAATACAAAAAGAGAAAGAAAGCATGAGAAAAGAAGGAAAAAAATTAATATTAACAGCATATGGGAGGAAAATCTATTGAAGGCTGCTGAAATTCTTTTGGTGTAAATTTATGCTGTATAAACCGGATAATCCCATCAGCAGTGGTCCTGGTCGGAAAGTGATTTTTGGCTGTCAATAGCTCTTCCCCATCCCATAGTTCCCAAAGGCTTCCCCGAGGCAAAAGGGAGCCCTAAGAAGCATCAGAACCTTAAGGGGGGGGGAATCAGAAGCTGGATTATATCATAATTCTATTTTAATTATAAATGCATGTTGTTGTTTTTTTCATTTTCAGGTTAAGGCTATTTATGTTCACTCTGAAATGTTCTCTGTGCAAAATGGCTTGTTGACACCTACATTAAAAGCTAGGAGACCAGAGCTGAGAGAATACTTCAAGAAACAGATAGAAGAGCTTTATTCCAGTGTTTCCATCTGACAGCAAGGTTCTTCGAAACAATGTACTTTGTAGCAATATTAGGAAAAATGAAAAGGATGCGGTTGAAATGAATAAGCATCTGACCTTCCACATGAGCCTTCCATTGTCTGAAGACACTGTCAGTGAATAATTCCGTTGCCATCTAGTTTTAATTGCTCTTGTAATGGAATGCTCTAAAGTCTGTTGGACAACCACTAAGCTGTTTTAAATTCCACTCCTTCTGAAAGTACTTTACCAACATCTTTTGTCATTAATACCTGCAAAAATCCCATAACAAACAGGAAAAAGGAAGGAAACACCCCTCTCTGACTGGATCTGCCCATTTTGTCTGATACTCTTCTGCTCCTGGATATTCTGATAATGTGATCTGTAGGGTTTGCAGATGCCTCCCTGGATGAATACAATTAAGAACTCATTAGAAGCAAGAAGTGTGTGTTTTGAATCACAGGTTGTACATTATCTGCACACCTGTTCCAGTGTGACACAGCCTCCCTTTCTGAAATATCATTGATTGCAAACGTAGCCAAGAACTCCTCACTGCAGCGGAGCTCTTTAAAGTCCCAGAGTTCCAGTCCAGGAACAATCACCGACGAAGACTAGTGGTCTACCTCAAATGTTCTTTGTTACTCAACACTATAAATAAATCTGTTGTCCTGATCTAGAATTTAAAACTGGAATTGTTTAGTTGTTTGTTAAATGGCATCTGTTAGGCTCTGCAAGAGGAAAAAATAACATTCTTCGTGTAATCCATTTATACAGAAACAGAAATAGGTAGAGTTCAGATGTCCCATGCATCAAATTGATATAATAGATCCAGTAGTGTATGCTATATGAGAATGAGCCTTTAATTGTCATAAATGGTATACATCTCAAAATTATGCTACTTGTTTCTAAAGCAAGATTGGGGAATGGATGGTCCTCCGGATGTTGTTGGACTATACGTCTCATCACTCATCATCGGTTGGGCTGCCTAGGGTTGATGGAGGATGTAGTCCAACTGCACTTGAAAAAACATCCATTCTCCATTCTTGGTGCACCAGCACTTTTGTTAAGGGTGATGCAGAAGGTTTCCAGCCTTAGCAGGATTGTACATGGGAGATAGCTGTTAGCTGCACTTTTTAAACAGTTTGATTGCTCTTATGGTTTGGAAGCAATGTGTTGGAAAGACAGTGTAAATCTACTACATAATTTTAGTACATCCGTTCCCTCTGCTGTGGATATGAACTATTTTTTTCCAGGCAGATTAAACTAAATATGTGCTTTGAGCCACAGCTTTGTGCTCCCACGTTATAGTGCACTTCAGGAAGACTGAGCAGGCTTGTGTAAATTGAAGAGGATGCCAAGCATCTCAGCAAACAGTTGATTGACTGGATGCTTTCTCAGATGTTAAAAGTGTTTGAGGTTAGACAGCCGTCTCCCTTCAGAACTCACAATATTTTCTCTCACAATCAGGATACCAACAGCTGCTCCTCTTGCTCTTCCCTATCCTCCCTATTCAGTACCCATCATCCTGAAATCGTGTTTCTCATTCTTTCCAGTCACCGTTCTTCCAAGATGAAGATAGTGCACTGAAGGATGGCCTCCACCCTCCATGAGAGGGATTGTATTGGCTCCACATAACAACACAAGAAACAACTGTCACTCATATTCTAAGGTCTTTTTTCTACCTTCATCCTCTAAACAATTAGTTTAAATAGAGTTCAGAGTTCCTGTGGATAAATTAACACAGACACTGTAGAAACTACCTAAGCATTCACAAGATACTCAGGAACTGCCATGGAGACCAGGTTATAAAACCTGTGATAGAGCTAGATTTTGTTGGGCAACAACTCCTATCCTCCTGGCCCAACAACACTAATGGTCAGGGATGATGAATGTTGTGTTGTGGGACACAGGTTCTCCCAGCTCCTTGTGTTCATAATATATAATGATTGCCTGTTCTGGCTTAGTTTGAATCAGGGCTTGGTTTCACCAACATATAATAAGAATACAATGCTGCCTCGCATTACGACGTTAATTCCTTCCAGCGAAATAGTTGTAGAACAAAAACGTCGTAAAGCGAAAATAAAAAAGCCATTGAAATGCATTAAAACCTGGTTAATGCATTCCAATTGGCTAAGAACTCACTGTCCAGCGAAGATCCTCCATAGGGGTGGCCATTTTCGGGTGCCTGTGCAGCGAAAAATGGCTCCTAAACACAGCAGGGAGCCATTTTCAGCACCCGGTGGCCATTTTGAAAACCCGACGATCAGCTGTTTTGAATACCGAGAAGCGAAAATCGGTTCCCAAAACAGGGAACTGATCATCACACAGCGAAATTCCCCCATTCAAAACGTCGTTTTGCGATCGCTTTTGCGATCGCAAAAACCTCGTTGTAATGCGGATTCGTCATTAAATGGAGCACCCGTTTTGCGAGGCACCACTGTAATCATCCTCTCAGTGCTCAAGATATGAGAATGCACAAATTAAAATTCTCCATTGCTTAAAATAACTGTGAGCATGTCTGCAGAATTTAACTTAATAAGAAGAGAACATGGCTTGCAGTGTGTCTTCCCATCCTTCAAACTTACTTCAGCTTCTCAAATCATCCACACTGTGCATGAGAAAATTATTTTATGGTAGTTACAAACACTCTTCATAATGTAATATTGCTTGAGCAATCCATCTTGAAAATACTGCTTACATACACCAGTGAAAGTGAGTGTTGCCTGTCTAAGGTGGCTCAGGCACTGTTCGTTCTTTCATGACAGCACATCCACATGGAAAATTTTAAATTAAGAGTAGGGGATTTTTGGAATACATTTGTCTTGGGCTTCCAGATGAAATCAATTTATATTCCACTACAAATCATATTATTATTAAAAATGGTGTCAAATAGCCAGACTTTTCTAGAATGTATTGAATCAGATGAAAAATTAAATATTTGTCATGGTCGATTTTATACAAACTGTTTCAAAAGTGACTGCATGTTAGGTTTTGACTACAAAAAGTACTTTTTGTGTCTTTCACATACCTATCTTCTTGCCAGCCCAACTGCAGGTTTCACTTTAAGAATAAAGTTGAAGACTGATTTTATAAGTCTTTCTTCTGCTGCAAACTAGTACAGAATTTGTGTAGCATCACTATTCTCAAGTTGGAGCTACTGGCCATAAGGCTAGGGATAATGGGAGTTGTATTATGACAGTTGCAAGGCAATATTTTGGGGAAGTCTTGCTTGGTATCTTAAACAAAGACAAGTAACTTAGATAATGACCCCAATATTAGGTCATAATTTTGTATCGCATAATGAAAACATCCAGTTTTCATATTTGTGGGGCAGGGAAGGTATAGAAATATGTCATAAACATATTTTTCCAACTACATTAATGGTCATCTCAGATGAGATAATTGGCAGATAAATTGAGATAATTGGCATATAAATTCAACTCGGTCCATATGGTTTTATCTGTATGCATTTAATACTTTCCCAAAAGTTGTATTGTGGGCCCATTTATTTAGACAGGAAGTTGTACTGATGTTAGATATTAAACTTTTATTTAAAATAATACATGGGAACAATTTTCATATGTTTCAATCAAAATTTAGCACTTCTGTTTGATTTTAATTTAAACGCTACATATGCTGTTTTTATAGAGTCATGGAGACATAAAAATACATGGTTCTTGTTTTAATTGCACATTTCTTGGAGACATAAAAATACATGTAAGTTACATGGTTCTTGTTTTAATTGCACATTTCCATTATCCAAAAGTAATTGCAATTGAAGCTACATCAACACAAAAAGACTCATCCAATAACTATAACTTCCCCAGTTTAGTGATGGATCAGTGCATATTGTCTGGTGTACAAACTCATGCTAAATCCTATGGTGTCCTGCATAAAAAAGAGACAAGCTAGAACCTGACCTTATATGCCTGTTCAGTGTTGGAGGATGCAAGCCACGATGGTTAGGCAAATTGAAAGAACCATGCAGCCTGACTGGGAATGATGCTCCTTATTTGAGCAGTAGTAGGAAGTAGATATTCATCCCTGGAATTATCATAAATGCATGGGATTATTAAGGTATTATTGACTTTCAAAGTGTCCTTTACTTATTAACACAGTGGGATGGAAACTGCTTACCCATGGCTTTATACTACACTGCTGCCATGAGATCTAAAGGAAGGTCACTTATAAAGACCCTTCCCACCTAAATACTATCCTGATCTTAGTGAACTGGATTTTTGCCACCTGCAGAAGGATTATGGCAGCAATGTAGGATAAAGCTATAATTGTAATTAATCACTATGAGATCCATGACACAGTCATAACATATGAAAGATATTTTAGTAAGAAAACATGCACAGCTTGTGCTACTGGTGCTTAAAATAAATGTATATGAAATAATAAAGTACCACCCAAAGTTCAATCATTTCCACTACTTGTGTCGGGAAAAAACAACATATGGTAGGATGGACTTCCTTGCACTATGGTGAGATAATGTTGCATCATTCTGAAGACTTGTGGGGTAAATATTAAGGATTGGAATGCTGGCACCACTGTTACTACTCATATTCTAAAAAATGCTATGAGTATGCATTTGCTATGCAACATTGTCGCTTACCTGCAGGCACAATGGAAGAAGGTACAAGGTTGCAGTAGCAGAGGGGATATGGATACCAATCAACTAACACCAGGGTTTATGCTGTAGCTATTTTGATATCCTGGTAACAATACAGTCCCGTACTACTTCAGCAATTGAGCCAGGATTTATTTATTTTTATTCAGATACTAAATATAGGGTGAAAAATAATAGGTTAATTCAGAATGAACATTGCTGCAGGATTCAATGGCATAAATGAAGTCTCAGACTAGCATTTTTTGGGGGAAACGATAGGGCTATGATGCTTAACGAGGTCTTTGTGCTCTAAGCCCACCAAGCATCATCATTCTCCTACTGCTTTTCCAGACCATGAGCAGATAATTTTTAGCAAGATGTCTTACAATGTCATGGGGAAAAAATCCACAGTATTTCAAAAAAGGTTCTGTATCCTTGACTTGTTCACATTTTTCTGGCAGATAATTCATATGTGTATGTTTATGATTTAGGATTATAAATGTGAAATGTGGCTGTTGGAAGGCCTGTTGTTTGAAAGAGGTAACATAAGGTTGCATGAAAGTTATGCCTGTGGTGTTTGAACTGTAATATTTACTTGCCACATGTCATCTCAAATTGCAACCCACTGAGTGAAACATGCCTGCCTGAATCTGCCATGGAACTAAGCCAAGGTCCATTTAAATCTGTACTTTTACGATGATCAGTTTATAACATGACTAAATCATTCCTACAGATCTAGAGAATGCTGTGTAGTTTTGCATTCCGTATATGAATCACAAAAAGCAGTATTTCCTGTAAAATGTCAATGAGCTGAAAAGCTTAAACAAATATCTTTAAAAGACAGCTATAGAATCCGATCATACTGCTGTGGAAGGAGAGCACTCTGCATTTTGATGTGAATTTTCAGGGTACAGTGTATTCTACATAGGAAAAAAAGATAGGAACTCTTGTACAAATATTTTACGGCATACACATCACTGTAATAATAACATGAAAATTCTGTTTCTTTGGATTTGGTTGTTACTATATCAGAAAATTCCTCTATCTTCTAACAGTTTCCTTGGATTGAAGTCAATTAACTCAAAATGATAATCTTTGGTATTCCATGTGTGAAAAGCACAAGCTGGTGATTGGTATGTAAATAAACTTCTATGAAATGAATGTAAACTTTAAAAGAATATACAGTACTATTTTTGCATGAATGCTGACAACTTAAAAGATATGCTGATGTCTCACAGAAAGCTGTGGAATCTTATTTTATTTAGATGTGGCAGTATAGCAATTGAATATAATTTTCTTCTCTTTTTGTACAACATGGAGAAGTTTTTAGTTTGTACTAAGAATAAAGAGTTGTGTTGCTTTGTAGAAACCATGTTCTACTTTGTAGGACAAAGTCTAGGAGAACATAAAGCACATTTTCTATATGACAACATACTAATGATATATGAGCGTCAGCTTGATATAAAATGTTCATGTGTGTTGGAATAGTGGAACTATTTCCCAGTTGATTGGGGGCAGCTCACCCCTACCCCACCCTTTTAATTAGAGTATTCTCCACCACTAATTCTGTTAGAGAATTTAGCCTGATTATTTTCTCAGGAGGTGAGCATTAAAAAACACAAAACTGATATGGAAGCTGTGAATTTTACTTCTTTTTTCATGTTGGGCAGTACACAGAAGTTAAGAAGGAAAGTCTGAATCATTTCATTGTCCCTCAAAAAGAGTGTTCAAATGCCACTGTGAAAGAAGCAGCTGTACAAGTTTTAGTCTTGCATAAATTAACATGGTCCAGCTTTTCATTTTGGCAGTCCTACCACAGTTTCAGAACTGTGGTCAAATTCACCTCTTTTTTTCCTTGAATCTATAGCAACATATGCTAAAAATTTAGTTGAGGTTCATACCCAAGGTCAGGGATTCCAAAACAGGTAGGGTGTCCAGGTACTGAAGGTGTGGTTGCACACCATATCATATGTCTCATATGCCTCATCAAACCAGATAGGACAATGGCTTTACACTTATGTGCAGTTGAAAGGAAGTTGTGCTGGAAGTTCCAAAAATGGACATTCCAGCTTAGGAAAAGCTGGAAATAAATGGAGAGAAGTATCAAATCTCAGACATACAACAACTGCAGGAATGGTGTCAACTCAAGAAAAGGGGGCCAGGGTATTGATTGATTAATGTGACTGCCAATCCGTGTAAACAACTTCCTTTTTACTGCTAGAATCTTCATCTAGTGTTAGTAGATGGATAATTTTATTAACATACTGAAATGGGGTGGAAACACCCATCATATTCAGTCCATTTTTCTCCAAGTATAGCACCTTCCCTGAATTCCATCTCATGCAAAGTAACAATGTGCTGAGTAAGCAAAAATAAAAGAAGCTTCTGCCAAGTGTGCTTTCACTTCTAAAGAAAAACTACTTAATTTTTTAAAAAGATATGCTTGAGTTGCACCCAC